GGGAAGCAGGGGAGGGAGCCTGTGCTGCACATGCATAAATAATAGCGCTGAAATCAGACTCGCTTAAAAATAGATATCCTTCCTAATCAATATTTCACCTACTGTCTTTAGGCTGCAAAGCTGCCCCGACTGAAATGTTAAAGCAAACCTCGTTGTTTGCCCCTAAATGCCCCAAACAGCCCCGGCCGTGGAGGGGCTGCCCTGGGGTGTCGCCCTGATTTTTGGAGATTTTCTAAACCTTCAGATGTTTGCATTCTTGTAACGAACTTGCTCACATACTTTCTGTAAAAAACTTATTATTTTGCATTTTTATGAAAGAAAAGAAATTAATAAACTATTAGTTTGTCCAGTGTCATTGGGGAGGTGACACTTTCACCACCCAATCCACTGTCACTTTTAAAAATCTATAAATGTTAAAATAAAAAAATAATAAACTGCCCTTTTTACCTTAAAAAAAACCTTTCACCCTCCAATCCACTGTCACTTTAAAAAATCTATAAATGTTAAAATAATAAAAAAAATAAACTATCCTTTTTACCTTAAAAAAACCTCAACCAAATCCACATCATGTTATTTCGTGTCCTACAGTGACACCGGGGAAGGAATGTGGCCACCTGCACACAAACAGAGCCCAGGGAAGGTGGCCTGGTGGCCTTTTGGCTCTGAGAACAGAGCTCTGCATCCCTCTGACTCACTTGGTGACCTGTGAGTTTGAGTAATGAAATCCAGAGATAAGATCTCTCATGATATTTATGAGCAACATTCTTCTTTCTGTATCTGCATTTCTTCCTGCCCAAAAGTGGAATTAGAATTAGGTGGCTGAATAAGGCAAAACAAAGGACGTTGGCAGAGCCCGAGATAGGAGGATTTTTCATTAAAAAGAGTGACAGGTGGGAGAATGTGTCCAAACGTGTTTCTGGGAGATAATCCTGCGGTTTGGGTTTAGGGCATCGCTCACTGTGCCTTACCTGACATGATGCTTCTACTGCCGGATTCCCGGGGAATGGGGGTGATTTAATCTGTTCATTTAATCCTGGGGCTGGAGGCCGGCTGTGCATGGAAGGGCGCTCCTGAGGGCAGCCCTGGCACCACCTCTGCCCTGGCACGGAGCCTTGGCAGCGGGGAATGCGGGCCAGCAGTGCCGGGAAGTGAACAGGAGAGGGAGAATCCCGTGGGATAAAAGCGGATAAAAACGAGAGCAGGCTCCCGGTGCTGAAGTGATTTCAGCTTTTATTACAAAAAATAAAAGCCTAAAGCAAGGGGGCTTGGGGCCGAGCAGGAGCGATCCCCTCGAGGATGCTGCAGCTCTGCTGGGTCAGCTCCAGCAGCGACGTCCCCGTGGTGTCCCCGATGTCCCAGGTGGAGCAGCACACCTTCCCTGCGTCAGAATCCCCCCTTTTATCCTGTTTTCTGTCCCTTTGGACCGGTTTCTGTTTGGATCCTTCATTTGCATAAGGGTTGAGGCGCTTGATTGCCCATTACAGCTCTGTCCAGGCTGGCTGCTTTCGCTGGGGATGGTGCACTTTACTGAGGTGTCATTTCTTATAATTACCTTTTAACCCTTTTACCATATAACACCCGAACTAACAGTACATGCTTAACAATTATCAATTATTTTGCGGCAGTTGTGTTGTTGGCAGGAGCTGTGCAGTGCAGAGGGCACACTGGGATCCCGGCATACCCGGGCAGGGTATTCATTATTCAAATATTCCTTTCAAACTGGGGATTTTTCTGTTTATTGCCAACTTCCCCCCAGCCGGGCACCGCCGCTGCTACACTGGGATCCCGGCATACCCGGGCAGGGAGGGCTGCTGCTGCCACCCCCAGCCGGGCACCGCCGCTGCGCTGAGCCCTCTGTCCCTGTCCCCGCGCCCACCCCGAGCCCTGGAGCCGCCAGGCCAGGCCAGCCCAGCAGCACAGAGGCAGGGCATCCCCCCGAGGGGAGAGGCAGGGTGAAAAATGCGTAGTTTATGATTGGCTTCTCGCAAATATTAAAGTGAATATTATACGTGTTACATTAGACACAACACATATAATTTAATTATTGTATTAATTATACTAATACTCAATAATTACAATAATAAATTAATTAATAATTAAGAAAGAATAATTATATAAAAATAAATTCATTATTACATTGTATTCTTAAATGAAATAGCTTTTAATGTTATACAATTAATAAATAATAAATTAATTGATAATGAATTTATTTATTACTGTATTAATTTTCTTAAGTAGTGTGTTAAATACAGTTTTAGGCTATAACATAATGTTAAAATAGAAACTATGCCATGTGAGATACTTTTTTGAAAGAGAGGAATGAGGTACTTGTACTGACATAGCAGCCACAGAACACCTAAATCTTTCAGAAAAAGAGAATTTATTGCTCTTTTATCAAAAGAAATTAACTTCTTCCTGCTTTGCTCAGCCCTGAAGAAGCCGAATGAGGTACTCACACCGAGATAGCAGCCACAGGACACCTAAATCTTTCAGAAAAAAGAGAATTTATTGCTCTTTTATCAAAAGAAATTAACTTCTCCCGCCTTGCTCAGCCCTGAAAAAGCCATCAGGATTTAGAGGAAGAATGAGGTAGAATCCTGTGTTTGAATGGAAGTTATGCATCATGTGTGAGGTGTATGGATGTGCAACAGGCTGTTGTTTTAAGGGTTAATCCTCTGTTAACGTGTGCCCTTTTTTGGGCTTCTTTTGCCCACAAAGAGGCACCCGGACTGTCCCTAACTCTTTGGTTTTTTTGTCTTGTATTGTCCTAATCCCAATTGTCCAAATTTTTATTACTCTAATTATATTACTATTTTTATAACCATTTTATTACTATGAAACTTTTAAAACTCTAAAAACAAGTGATTGGCAGGACAAAGGGTGGGCATGGGACACACGGCTCTGCTGGCCCCACGGGCAGGGCTGTGCCAGCTGTGCCCTTCACGGGGATTTCTGTGGCATGCCCGGGCAGGGTGGGTGCCAGGCTGGGCACACGCTGCCCACAGGGATTAGTGGGATCCATCTGTGCAGCCCCAGGGTGAAAAATATCAATCACTTGTGTTAAAATTTTAAAATTTTAATAGTAATAAAATAGGTATAAAAAATTAGGGCAATAAGAATTTGGACGATCAAAGCTAGGACAATAAAGAACAATAAAAACCAAAAAATTACTGACCTTTGGGTGTTCTGCTCTGCCCCAGAGCACGCTTTGCTAACAAAGGATTAACTCTTAAAAGCAATAGCCTGTTGCATATTCATATATTATTCAAATATTCCTTTCAAACTGGGGATTTTTCTGTTTATTGCCAACTTCCCCCCTCATCTTGTAAATCAATCTTTTTGGCCCCTGGAAATCGGGAAGGAGTCTGGGTTTTCCTGATAAAGAGGCAATAATTCTTCTCTTGGGATCTTGCTGTCTGTTTGCTGTTATCTTTATGAGAATAATTTCTTGATTATTTTATCCATTCCTTGAGCTGGTTACAAAAAGTATCTTACATCACATAGTTTCTATTTTAATATTATGCTATAGCCTACAAACTATATTTACCACAGAACTTAAAAGGAATAATACAGCACGACTTTCCAACATAACACATATAGTACTCATTTTAATATTTGCAAAGAGCCAATCCTATAATACACATTTTTCACACCCAGGGACTGGGATTAATTCAAATGCACTGTTGGGGTTGTTTCTCCTGATCCCTGCATGGCAGGGGGTTGGAAATAAAGATCTTTAAGGTCCCTTCCTACCCAAAGCTGCCAGAATTCTGTAATTCTGGTTTTGTGTGGCTGCTGTTGAGGAATTCATTAAAGGCTAGCAGAAACTGGTTTTGTGTGGCTGCTGGTGAGGAATTCATTAAAGGCTAGCAGAAATGCAGCCATAAGCATTTTCTGCAGTTGGTTCTGATAACAATCATGCAGCTATCATCAGCCATCAGCACAAAGCTCCAATGAATCAGGGAAGGAGCAAAAGCAAACCTTGGCCACCCCGAGAACCATCCCTTGCCAATGTTCCAACCTCTTGTAAAGAAAGATCTTTGCCTTGGAAATATTCCCTGAGTGTAAACACGCGGAAAGTGTTTATGAAAATTAATGGTTCTGTAAATCAAATTACGCGTGTATTCTTTCATTTCTACTTTGAAATGATTTTCACACGTTCAGGTATTACAAATGCGAATGTGGAGGGGCTCGATTGCTGCCAGGAGCAAACACTGAGGAGCTTCCTCAGCAGCAATGTTTGATTTCCATCAGCCTTCAGCTGAACAGCAAGGAGGATCTGTGCCTGAAATTCCCCGCCTGCCTTTCCTGCTGTGTGGAAGGACACACACACATCAGACACACCTGAGGGGCTGTGCCCTGCTCCACCACCCTCCTGGGCTTTTTTGGCCCGGAATAAAGGAGCACAGAGCACAAAGTGAAGCACGGCCCAGGAACTGGCCTGGCCGGGCTGGGAGTGCGGAACACCGAGAGGCTGGCACCGCTCCGAGCCAGCAGCGCCCACCAGGGCTCATTTTCACCTGGATTTCAGCTGAATCTCAAATCTCATCAGCTCTGCAGCACACGGGGCTGCTCCAGGGGACAGGGACAGCGGTGCCACAGGGACACCAGGAGGAATTCCCCATGGAAAGGGGGCCAGGCCCAGGACACCAGGAGGAATTCCCCATGGAAAGGGGACCAGGCCTAGGACACCAGGAGGAATTTCCCCGTGGAAAGGGGGCCAGGCCTAGGCAAGGGCTGCCGGGGAGGGTTGGAGCCTCCGTCCCTGGAGCGTCCAAGGAATTCCTGGATGTGACAGAGCTCTAGGCTGGGGACAAGGTGGGGATGGGCACAGCTCCTTGGGCTGGGAGGGCTTTTCCAGCCTCAGGGATTTTGGGATTCTGTGATTCCCGCGCCGTCCCCATGGCAACGCGCTGTCGCCGCGGCGGAGCGCGCGGCGCGGCGTGTCCCGCGCGGCGGCCCGTACCGCGGGGCATTGTGGGCCGGGCAAGATGGCCGCGCCGCAGGGAGCGCGGGGCCCGCGGGGGTAGAGGAGCGAGGGAGGCCCCGGGCCCGGTCCCCGCCGGTCCCTCGGTGCTCCCCGGGCCGCGCCGCCGAGCCCGGCCGGGGCCGCTGCCTGCGCCAGGTGAAGGCGCTGCGTGCCCCGGGTCCGTCCTTACCCGCTTAGCGGGCAGCGCCGCCCCGCTGCCCTTGCCCCGTGCTGCCCCTCCGGCCGGAGGGACCCCCGGCCCCGCTGGGTGCCGGGCTGGACATCGCTGCCCACCTGGTGCCCCGCGCTTCCCCGCCCATGGAGTCTGAGATGCTGCAGTCGCCTCTCCTGGGGCTCGGGGAGGAGGATGAGTCCGACCTGACGGACTGGAACTTGCCCCTGGCCTTCATGAAGAAGAGGCACTGCGAGAAGATCGAGGGCTCCAAGTCTTTGGCTCAGAGCTGGAGGATGAAGGACCGGGTAATGCTCCAGGGCACCGTGGGGTTTGCAGCAGGAGCAGCCGGGGGACAGGTGGAGAAGGAGCCAGAGCTCAGAGGGTGCTGAGCTGCTGCCAGGTGAAGGGCTGGCTGAGGATCCCGTGTTTGTGTCCCGGTGCTGTGGGATTGGGGCAGCAAAGCTGCAGCTGGCTCAGAGGCACTGATGTGATGCTCATGGCGCTGGGCTCTCGGAGCAGCTCCATCCTTTGGGCTCTTTGAGTGCAGCTTGGTGTGCTCTGGGCAGGGCAGGAGAGCAGCAGCTGCATGGGCAGCCCGGCTCAGGTGCAGGAACTGCAGCTGCACTGCAGCTGGGGGGGTTTGCTGTGTGCAGTGTAACTGAGGGGTCCTGGGCACAGACAGGGCGTGGGGTTTTGGAGGCAGCACGTGGTTTTCAGATGGAGCTCTGGTGTGTTACAGCAGGAGCCCCTGGGGTCTCTGGGGACATGTTGTGTGTCACTGCCAGCGCTGGAGTGACACAGACCTGTCCCAGCTGGGACTCTGGGACACTCTGTGGGACACCTTCAATGTCTCAGTAAAGAGCAAAGCAAGCACCTAGGAAATGTCCTGGACATCATTGCACTCGTTCTGCTCTTGGAACCTGCTTAGGCTTCCAGCCTGCTGGCTCTCCAGTTCTGGTACCCATAACTTTGTGTTTGTGGGTGTTTATGGGCTTTTCTGGTGACCAGATTTCTGTTACCTTTATGATCCTCTTGTAAAGGATGGAATAACTCATCGAAACTGCAAGCTGTGATTTCTTTGCCCAGAGCCTCAGTGTTCCCAGCGTGGTGGTTGCATTTCTCAGAAGTTCTGAACCATGTACTGAAGGTGGCACTTGGCAGCTCATTGCTGCTTGAGCTGAGTGCTTTGGGTGTGATTTGAAGGCAGCACAGACACCACGCTGGCTGCTCTGCTCCAAAGGCTTCTGGCACACAGGAGACTCTCTCCAGTAGGCTGTGGAGGTGTGATGAGCTTGCTGGTCTATTTTAGGTGCCTCTGCCTTCCTGGGATGCTTCCTGTTCCTCCATCCCTGATCTGCAGAGTTGCCTGTTTCTAATTCAGGAATGACTTTGCCCTGCTTGTGCTGATCAATAGGTTGTGCAGCAGCAGCACAGATCAGGGGGTGCTCAGGGCTTCTCTGTGCCTGGGAAATGTTTCAGTGCTTGCTGCCATCAGTGGCCAGCCCAGCCCAGCTCCTGCTGCCTGGATGCTGCAGTTCCCTCCCCTGGGACTCTCTGTGCCATGAAGGTTGTGGCTGTTGCTGCTGCTGCTCTCTGGGGATGAGCTCAGTGGGCCCTGGGTCACTCCTCAAGATGCTGAATCTGACTCTTGTCAAAGAAGAAAATAGAAACAAATCTCAAATTTTCAGTTTAGTCCTTTTTTCCCTGTCAGCTGAGCCAAATGACTTCACAGCAGGGCAGCTCAGGCATCGTTTGTGTCTGGATCAGGGACCCTTTAGACAAACTTGCTGTTGTGTTTAATTACTTTTTGTTTAAGAACAGGTGCATGGAAAGGTACCAAAAGCAGGTAGAGACACCCAAGAGAGGAAGAGCAGCTGATTTGAGAATGCTCAACCTCATCACTTTTAAATCTCAGCAGCTGTTTGTCACGTCTTGTGGTTTATTCCCCTTTTCAGCTGTCACTGGCTGTGAATGACTTTGCCCTGCTTGTGCTGATCAATAGGTTGTGCAGCAGCAGCACAGATCAGGGGGTGCTCAGGGGTTCTCTGTGCCTGGGAAATGTTTCAGTGCTTGCTGCCATCAGTGCCAAGCCCAGCCCAGCCCAGCTCCTGCTGCCTGGGTGCTGCAGTTCCCTCCCCTGGGACTCTCTGTGCCATGAAGGTTGTGGCTGTTGCTGCTGCTGCTCTCTGGGGATGAGCTCAGTGGGCCCTGGGTCACTCTTCAAGATGCTGACTCTGACTCTTGTGAAAGAAGAAAATAGAAACAAATCTCAAATTTTCAGTTGAGTCCTTTTTTCCCTGTCAGCTGAGCCAAATGACTTCACAGCAGGGCAGCTCAGGCATCGTTTGTGTCTGGGTCAGGGATCCTTTGGACAAACTTGCTGTTGTGTTTAATTACTTTTTGTTTAAGAACAGGTGCATGGAAAGGTACCAAAAGCAGGTAGAGACACCCAAGAGAGGAAGAGCAGCTGATTTGAGAATGCTCAACCTCATCACTTTTAAATCTCAGCAGCTGTTTGTCACGTCTTGTGTTTTATTCCCCTTTTCAGCTGTCACTGGCTGTCTCCTGAGTGCTTAATGTGAGGTAACAATCACAGAACCTCAGCTGGAGAGGGAAGGGCATGAGGATGGGGTTTGGAATGCTGCAGGGGTGATGTCTGGTAAATATTTCCACCCTGTGAGCTCGAGTTTGGCTAACCCTGCAAAATAGTTCACAAGATCTGATCTGGTTTGACCTGGTGTCCGTGAGCAGGAGGTGGAGGGAGGGCAGCTCACTCATGCTGCTGCTTTCCCATGGCCTGGCTGGGTGGGACAGGTTTGTCCAGGGAATGGAGCACCTGCAGATAACCCCGGGAGCTTGGTGTTTGTGGCCTTTTCCTGTGAGGCACTGGTGGTGTGAGGGCAGCCTGTGCCACCAGGGTGAAACTGGGCTCTTTTTGTTCCTGAACTGCTTTGTTTTGCTCTCTGGCATCACAAATTAATTACTTCCAGTTTTAGCTGTCTTCAGGAAGTTTCTTCTCTTCCTCTTCCCTCTCCTTCCAGCACTGTCCCCAGTGGCCTGCAGCCCTGTCAGTGCCCACAGCCCCTGGTGGCTGCTCTGTCCCCACAGCCCAGCCCATGGCTCAGCCCCTTCCTTCCCTGCAGGCCCAGGGGGAGCCTCTGTGCCCATCCCCAATTCCCTGCAGGGAGGAATTCTCCTTTTGTCTCTTGGCTCCCTTTCGCCCCAGGCAGGGCTGGTGGAGCCGAGGTGTGCTCCTCTCTCTGGGCTGCTGCTGCTGCAGGAGGGCTCCTGAGGGCTGCAGGAGGGCTCCTGAGGGCTGCAGGAGGCTCCCTGAGGGCTGCAGGAGGCTCCCTGAGGGCTGCAGGGCTGTGCCTCTGGCTGTGAGCTGAGTGTGGGAAGCATTCCAGTGCCTTCAGTCTGATCAGTGAACCCCTCACGGCCCAGGCTGGGACCATTCCCTGGCATCAAACACCCCAGAGGTGCTCAGAGGTGAGCCCAGACAAGGCTCTGCAGTCCCAGGGCAGGTAGAGCTGTGGCATTTCCCCCTGTGAATTCCCATTTCCCCCTGTGAATTCCCATTCCCCCTGTGAATTCCCATTCCCCCTGTGAATTCCCATTTCCCTCTGTGAATTCCCATTCCTCCTGTGAATTCCCATTTTCCCCTGTGAATTCCCATTTTCCCCTGTGAATTCCCATTTCCCCCTGTGAATTCCCATTTCCCCCTGTGAATTCCCATTCCCCCTGTGAATTCCCATTCCCCCTGTGAATCATGGAAGCCCCAAGCAGTGGCAGATTTTGCCTTATTCATCGAGGAGTCATGGGGAGTGAGCCGAGCTCTACTACAGTTAGAGGAAGTGATTCACAGATCTGGGAGTGGAATGACTCCTCTTTTCATCTTGCTTTGTTGCTCTAAAAACCCCAGAGTTTATGTGAAGTTGAAGGTTCTTTAGAAGGCAGAGCTCTGATAAGGGGAGAATCAAATCAGCAGAGTAATGAGTGGTAAATGTAGAGAAAATAAGTGAGAATTCACTGGTGTCCCCCGCCCCTTCCTCCACCAGGGCTGCTCTGAAAACATTTAATCCTCCCTCTCCCCCTTCCATGGACTGCATATGCCATCAAAGTGACACTGCTTTGATCTATTATTTATTTAAAGAATATTTTTAACACAAGAGGGTTGGAATTATGCTTTGTGTATTGAATTAAATCTCCCAGCCTTGGTAGCAACCAAAGCATATAACTTGATTTAAAGAAAAAGACTCCAAGTACACCAGGTTTTACTGACAAGTTGCTATTAAATTCAGAATATTTAAATTAAGATTTGCTGTATTTATATTGATTTCTAAGATAAGCAGAGAGCAACAAAGCTGATTGTAATAGTTTCACCTCAACATTTTTTTCCTGCTGCCTCATAACTTGCTGAGTGAGAATTAAATCCTGTTTTTATGAGAAGAGGAATCCACAATTAGGTTTCTCTGGAAATGCAGATTTAAGCAGGACTGCATACAAATGTGGTTCATTCAGATGAGCAGAGTTTACCTGCCTGCACAGGACACCAGGGAAGTGTCCTGGTGGCTTTCTGGGGAGCTGGGCTGTGCTCTGCCTCAGGGCTGCTGCTCAGTGGCTCGTGCTGTGCTGACCTCCCCTGGCCTGTCCAGAGGGGTTACTGATCCCTCTGGGTTGGAGCTCTGCTGGCACTGCCAGACCTGATAAACCCCTTGGTCCATTTGGTGTTTGTCTTGTTCTGCTCTTCTCTGGCCTCTTTCTGTGGGTTATTAGCTAATGAGTGTTAATGGCCGTGGTGTGGGCTGTGAGGGGTGGCAGGGGCTGAGGGTTCCTCCTGACCTCCTTGTCCCACAGGCTCTGCCAGCAGCACCCTCACCAGTGTTTTTATCCCTGTGTTTGCATTTATTGACCCATCCTTGCTGAACTGGGACAGGGTGACCTCCAGCTCTTGTTGGGCAGGGGTGGAGCGGAGGTAATTAGTGTAATTAGTGCAGTGCTGTGCAGAGAGCAGAGCAGGGGCAGTGGGAGCAGCCGGGGTGGCTCAGGCCAGCACTCTGGGTGTGTGGCTGGAGCCCTGTGCTGGGGTTCTGGCTTTCCTGCAGCCTGGCACAGCCTGCAGCAGGAGCTCAGGCTGCAGCCAGCTCTGTGCCCTCTCCTGTCCCTGCACAGCCAGCTCTGTGCCCTCCTGCCCATGGCACAGTGAGCTTTGTGCCCTCCTGCCTATGGCACAGTGAGCTTTGTGCCCTCCTGCCTGTGGCACAGCCAGCTCTGTCCCCTCCTGCCCTTGGCACAGTGAGGTTTG